TTCCGAATGTGAGCCCTGTGAGTGCTTCTAAAGAGGGCTCAGGGCAAAGTTGCAGAGCAAGCTTCAGGTTGGGAACACGGGTGACATTTTTAATTAAATTTCAGCTATCTGTCCGAGCAGAGGAGAAAGCAGGCAACCTTTGAAAGTACCTTTCCTGCAGGCCTTGCTGCTGCAAAGCTCAGCAGTGTACAAAGCCAACCTCTACGTCTCCTCACTCAGCTGGTTGTGCCACCAAGCTTTCAGAACAAATGAGTCAATTACTGCCTTCTTTGCCGAATGATACATCTCCTGGAATTCTTGAGCAGTTTGCTTGCTGTCCCTCATGCGCTACCTAAAAATGCTGGTGGCCCCGGGCACACCCATCAGCACTTGGTTGAAGCACTGGTGAAACGGGTCGTGGTTCCCAGCAGACACACAGATGGATGATGCTGCTTGAATTCCCTGCACTGTGTATTTTGTTGGTAAGTGGTAAGCGAGGAGTTCCAGATGCTGGAGGTAGAATTCAAATCCGAGGGGAAGATGAGTGATTTGAAAACCAACGTCCTGTATTCATGTCAATCACTTACGTGCTTCCAAAAAACACATTTTGTGTGACTTTGAGAGGCAACCTGAGCCCATCAGATCAGCCAAGGAGACATGTGGGGCACAGGATCAGTTCTAATACCTGGTCAGGGCTATTGTTTGAAGGAACAGGCTTGGTCTGATTGCCTTTGCAACCCTTTGTGATGTGTATTTAGCCCAGGGAGTTATGCTGAAGAATTTAATTTTGTAGCCTCTCCAAAAATAGCATCCCTCAAAGCCTCTGCTCTGGGACCTTATTTCAAGGGGCAGCAAGAGAAAAAGGAAAGCCACCTTGTTTTCAATCCCAGTACGAATAAAATCAGAGGTAGATGTTTATATATCACAGGGTGGTTGTTTTGAAAGAGAAATAAAAGTAAATGATGAAACTTTGGCAAAAATGGACTCTCTGGAATGGGACCAAGAACGAGCTCTCAGCACTGACCTTTTGGTTAAAGACACATAATGCAATTTATGTCATCCTCTCTGAAAGTATTATTTTATTGGCTTGCTGGGAATTTTGGCTTAAGGGAAATTGTACGTTAAGGGAGTAAGGTTTAACTCTTATTACTGCCAAATGTTTGTCCCTATGGTTAGGTGTTATAATAGAAAAACCACATGCCTAGACCTTACCCTCTAAGAGTTTAAGTTCTAGGATCCCATGATTCACAAAGACATTTTCAAATGGTTGTCATAGCTAAAACCTCTGACTAAAAACTCGTGTCATTAAGAGCATGTCTCAAAATCAGGAAAAGAGTTCCTTAGGGATGCGTCCCTTGTCCATACCTTTTCAATCTATATGCTGAATCATTCCGGGGAGCTCTGGTAGCCTGGTCACAGAAAGCTGTGCTGCAATCCTGTTCACATTGTTCGGCTCCCTCACTCTATTCAGGTCTTTTCACGGAGGCCTCCTCTGACCACTTTATTGAAAATGTAACTCTCTCAGCTCCACCCTCAGACTTCTTTGGGCTCTTTATCCTTTTTTCTCCATACATCACTTTTTTTAATTAAATTTTATTAATTTTAATGAACATTTACAGAGATTTTGGGTTTCCATTCATTCATTGTTGCACTATTTTCTCTATCCTCCCTCCCAGTTCGTTCCTCTTTTTCCCCCCCTTGAAAGTCTGTTTTAATTGTCCAATTGCCACAGTGCTTGTCAAAGCCAGTTCTGATGAATCTCCTTTGTCAATGTGTCCTTTGCCATTCCCTATCACTCCTCCCTGAGAGAGACTTCACCCTGATTCATAAGGAAAAGGGGATGCATACATCACTTCTTACCTTTTAAAATATTATTTCTTTTGAGATAGAATGTGATACCATAAAATCCACAATTTTGGAAGAGTTTTGTACAGAGATGTACAGTTTGGCCATCTCAGTGTATTCATAAGGTTGTCCAACCATCACCACTACTAGTGGTCACCACTCCTACCTCCTCTGCCCCCATCCTAGCAATCACTAACCTGCTGTCTCTATGAACTTACCTCTTCTGGACATTCCACATGAACTGTTTCATGCATGTTTTTGAGATCCATCCATGCTGTAGCATGTTGTTGTTGTTAGCTGCCACTGAGTGTGACCCTATGAAGAACTCACCTGAGCTTTACCCAATCCTGTACCCCCTGACCATCCCTGATCTACTTAAGCCCATTGCTACAGTCATGTGCCAGTTCACTGAGGGTCTTCCTCTCTGTAGCTGAGCCCCCACCTTTCCAAGCATGATGTCCTCTTCCAAGGACAGGCTCTGCTCACTTTTAATGAGCACGTTGGCTTCTCTCTCTCTCCAAGACATACTGTGTGTTCTCTTGACAGCCAGTGGGATATTAGTGCTCTGCAGCACCACAGCGCAAAGGCACAGGTTCTTCTTCTGCAATCCTTGGTCGTTGTCCAGCTTTCTGATGCACAACAAGCAAGTCATTGAAGGACCACAGCTTGACTCAAGTGTGTTTTAGTCCTCGTCCTTCCTTTGCAGCATCGTTGCTCAGCACCTTGACAGCATATTTCCCCAGTGCAACACATCTTCTCACTTCTCGGCTGCTGGTGTTGTGAATCCAAACAAGATGAAATCCTGGACTACGTCAAGCTCTTCTTCATCTAGCACGCTGTAGCATTTAACATTATTTCATTTCTTTTTATGACTGATTAACATTCCATTGTGTGGATAACCTTATCCATACATCAGTTAATGGATAGTTACGAAATTCCACCTTTTGTCTGTAACCAATCGTGCCATTATGAAAGTGCATGAACAAGTTTCTATATGAACATAAGGTTTCATATGAATGTAAAGTCTTGAGTATCTGTGTAGGACTAGATTGCTGAGTCGTACAGCCCTGATGGCATAGTGGGGTGAGTGTTAGATGTTAACTCATCAGCTGCTCCTTGGGGAATGACAAAGCAACCTGCTCCCATGAAGGGTTCCAACCTCAGGAGCACCTGGAGGCAGAATCCGCTCTGTGACAGTGATCTGATCTTATCTATTGGTGATTCTATGGCTAACATTTTGAGGACCCATCATTCTCCTTTTCCACAGTGGTTGTACTAGTTCACTAGCAATGTATGAAGATTCTAATTTCTTCACATCATCCTCAACACTTGGTATTATCTGTCCTTTTCAGTCTAACCTTCCTAGTGCATATGAAGTGATCTTATTGTGATTTTTATTTGCATTTCCCTGGTAAGTAATGACATAGAGAATGTTTCCATGTGTCTGTCCTATGTCATCTATGACTCAATAGCACTTAACAACAACAGCAACATAGAGAGAGCTCAGTTGGCTTAGTGGACAGAAAGTGATGTGACCAAGCCAAAGGTGGGTGACTTTAATCTGCAGCCCTCAGGCTTGGTTTTAATTGTTTTGGGTCAAACATTCTTCTAGGTCGTATAGCCCTGGTCTGTCCATTTGCTGTACCGAGGTAACTCTTGGTTGCTGTGATGCTGAACACTGTGACTCTGATGCATCAAATGTGATAATGGTTACCCATTGTGGACAGTGTTTGGTGGAGCTCCTTGATTAGAACAAGCTTGAAAGAAGAGTGGTGTTCACTTCCGAAATAACTTGCTTCCGGAAATCATATGAACTTGGAGAAACAACGAAAGTTATACAAGCGTTCAGGTCTTCTATTCATAGGGTAGCTGTGAGTCGTCTACAACTCAACGGCACTTAACAACAACAACAACAACAACAACAACAATGTTGGCCATTTCTATTTTTTCTTTAGGATAAAATACCTTTCCAAGTCCTTTGCTCATTTCTAATTGGGTGATTTCTAGTTTGTATTATTAATTTTAATAGTTATCATGAAATATATTTTACAAATATTTACTAAAGTTATTTTTTTAATGTACTCCTGCTAGAATTTAAAATGTTCCTCAGGAAACTTGTCGTTCATTATAGAATCTCTAGAACTCAGAATTTTGCTTGTTGTTACTGTTAAATACTTTCAAGTCAAAGCAACCTTACAAACAACAGATCAAAACAATCAAAAGGTTTGCTTTACCCTTCACCATCGTTCACCACCCTCACCGTCTCTGAAGTGTTCGAATCCTCTGTTACAGTCACTGTGTCAAACTATCTTGTTGAAGGTCTTCTTTTCTTTCTCTGACCTTCCACCTTTCCCAATACTATGTTTTTTTCCCAGCACTGGCCTCTCCAGACAATATGCCCAAAACATGTGAGACAAATTTTGACCATCCTTGCTCTCTAAGTAAAATAATGCCTGGTATATCCCAAACAAGTATTTGTTAGTTGGAGTAATTAGTAAACTAATTTAGATTTCCTTTTCTGTGACACATCTTGACCCATATATCTTTAATTTTTTTTTCCTGAAAAATATTTTCCCCTTTTTAAAAAATTGTGATCTTAACAAAAGTTTATAGAAAGGTTGGGTTTTCATTCATTGATTGTTGCCCATTTTCTCCCTCCCCTTTCTTTTCACCCTCCCCCAAGACCACTTTGCAAAGCATCTCTTGTTCCAGATTGTTGTCATACATATAATGCTTAAGTCATGTATTCCTTTCAGACATGTCTTTCCCTCATCTATCCTAATGCATTGTTCATTATCTATCCACTCTTTTCCTATTCTCTCTCCAAACCCCGCCTCATGTCAGTCCTATTTTATAACAGTAGTGTTAAGCAGCATCTGTCCTTTTGTGACTGAGATATTTCCTTCAGCATAATATTTTTAATATATCAAGTTTCCTCAAAACTATTAGAAAAGAATCTCTATTTGTATTTCTTACAAGTATGTCTCTGTTTCTGTGCCTATTAATATGGTTGTGTATTTCCTACAGAGTGAAATTTAAATGTTTAAAATGCCACAGTTCTCCATTTCTTTAATTTCTGTGTTTCTTTGTGTGGCTCTGAAAGTTGGCAAAACCACAAAATATAGTGCAGAGCATCAACCAGAACCATCCTGCTCACGTCCTGCTGTTTTCTACAGGTATCAACAGGGAGGTGGTGTACTCGCTGGCCGACTCTGCTGATGGGTTCTTCTCCATTGATGGCTCGTCGGGCATCATCATGCTGGAGCAGCCGCTGGACCGAGAACAGCAGTCCTCCTACAACATCAGTGTGCGAGCCTCCGACCAGAGCCCTGGGCAGGCCCTGTCTTCTCTCACCACTGTCACCATCACCGTCCTGGACATTAACGACAACCCCCCTGTGTTTGAGAGAAGGGACTACCTGGTCTCTGTGCCTGAGGACACCTCGCCGGGCACTCAGGTCCTTGCTGTTTTTGCCACCAGCAAAGATATTGGCACAAATGCTGAGATTACGTATCTCATTCGATCTGGGAACGAGCAAGGGAAATTTAGAATCAACCCAAAGACAGGTAAGTAAATAGCACTCTGCTAAGGATTCGAGACTTTGTGACACTGTTTATTTCTTCCAGTGCTCTAACTACAAGTTTTGGTGGCCTACTCTTATTAGGAGTTGCATTGCTGACCTAAAGGCATGTAGTTCAAATCCACTAGTTGTCCTATAAAAAATTGACAGTCTGTCCTCATGAAATGTTTGTCTCTGAAAACCAACTGAAAGGTCAGTATGAGTCAGTTCCTGCTCAACAATACACAACCACAGTATCCTAACTGCTCTGGGGAGTGGACCCTTCCTTCCCCTCCTCTCTCACTCAGGGTAGACCCAGATTTTCTCTTAGCACGACCTATGTGTAGACCCCGACTCATAAAATACTTCCATATATTCAAGTTTTTAATCTATTCCCCTATGAATATTTTTGTTGTTTTTGTCATGTGCCATCAAGTCAGAACCAACTAGTAGTTGACCAACTCATAGCTAACCCTCTAGTGGGTTTTCAGAGACAGTAAATCATATGGGAGGAATTTTTCCATCTTTTTTCCACACAGTTGCTTAATGGATTCGAACTACCTGCCTTTGGGTTGGCAGTCCAACTCCTTATCCACTAGGCCACCAGACCTCCATCCCCTATGAACTGGCAAGTCAGTGTCCCTTTTGTAGATGAAAAAAGTGAACCTCATGCTTCCCATTCTTTGCACAAGTTTCCTTCTTATCACTCAGTAAAGGAAGCCCCTCTAGCTTCAAGATACAAAAAAAAAAGAAAAAAGAAAGAGAGTAATTAGCAACATTTACTTAATGTGACAAATGCACCAGGTTTCTGTAAAATTGTTTTATATTTTTCACTTTCACACAAGAAAGCAGAAGTTTAGAAAGGTTAAAAAATTTCTCTGATAGACAAACTTTGTAAACAAATCAGTATTAAATGTTTTACTTAAAGAAGAAATTTCCCTGAGGCCTTCTGTTTTTGAGAGTTCAAACCTCAGAGTCTTCCCACTGCAGTCTGTGCTCTTAACAGCTCTATAATACAGTTATTTTGTAGGGGTGCAAACTTTTGCTACATCCCTGCCCTGTCTCTAATCAAAGTGGAAATATGGATGGAGGAATTGCATTAGCAACTTCTCCCAGCAGTGCCTCTGTTTATTAAGGTCATTACTTCAAATTAAAGTGGATGGGTGTTTTCCGCCTTTATTATTAACCTGCCTAGTTATAGCCGTTGTATATGAATACCATGAAGAAAGTGGCTAAGTACTGCTTAAATCTGGCATTGGATAATGACACTGCAATGCAGAATAAAGCGCTAAGGGTGGTAATTGCTAAGAAAATTTAATCATGGGGGCAATGAGGATACGGTTATAAGTATGACTTCTGTTTCTCACCTAGTATAAAGTTGGTCTGAATATAACCTCAGCTTCTAGGAAAGTTCTCTGTCTGGAAGTGTACACAAAGGTGATGGATGACCTTACCATGGCCCTGACGATTGTGAAGAAGAGGGTAAATGTTCTTGGGAGCTGCTCAGCAAGAACAGTGGCCAGTTGTTGTTGGACCATTGTTGTTATGTATCATTGAGTCAGAACCAATCCGTAACTGACCCTCCAGCATTTTCAAAGGCAGTTAATCATACTGGAGGAGGTTGTCCATCCTCTGTGGAACAGCTGCGAGATTCAAACTGTATACCTTTGAGTGCTAGATTGCCTCCCCAGAAAGGATTCAGATGGAAGAGAAAGAGCACCCATGGAGCTCCTCCTAGAAGCAGCGCTTGCTAGCTGCTGAGGCTCGCTCTGCTCACCTAATCCTTGGCTTACTGGTAGCATCCTCACCTCCAGGAAAGAGTCTGGGACTCGTTCCCAGCCAGTACCTACTGTGCACCACCACTCATCTCACAGTGGAGGCTCACATGTTGCTATGATGCTAAAGAAGTCCCAGCGGAGATTCTAGACTAAGATAGACCTGTCACTTCCCTCCAAAACTCAGTCAAAGTACTCTTCATCACAACTATCCAGTCTACCAGTGTCCATAGATGGTGCAGGCAACATTTTGTCTGTAACCCCTCATAGACACTGTCATCACCATTCTGTACTTGTGGACATTGAACTGACACTTGGTATTTGACCACTGGATTGTTTAATGCCTTTCCCACTCTATCACTATCTCTGAGGACTTCTGAGATCTTTGCTCTCTGTTAGCAGTAATTGGTTAGGGAAGCACATCCCTTGGCAAGGCACCTTAGCCATTAATTCATTGCAGTTCAATTTAGAGCAATCTGCTTGCTGACAAAAGGCAGAATCATACATTTGTGTCCACACTGCTCGGCTCATTCTCAGTCTGCCTGGGTTTTACCTGAGGAATCAAGGAATTGGTATCAGGGATGTTCATTTCTGTCCCTGCTCCCTAGTTTCATAAGAGAGAACAATACCTCAGTCTTTCTAGCTATTTTAGAAAAGTCGGGGAACTGTTACAAAAAAATGCAAAGACATCTAATGTGCTCAGTGCTGTGTTTGATGGATAGCTGTGTTTTAACAGACAGCATTAATCAGGCTTCTGGAATGTTTTCAGCAAGACATTAAATAAACAGATTACTATAGATTGGAAGTTCTTGGCTGGAGATGATGTTATAAATATTACCAAGATTATGGAGCTGACCCATGTTTTTACCTAATCAAATGTAAAAGTATCTATTTTTCTCTGTAGGGGGAATTTCTGTCTCTGAAGTCCTGGATTATGAAATGTGCAAAAAGTTTTACTTGGTGGTGGAAGCTACAGATGGCGGTACCCCAGCCCTGAGTGCTGTGACCACGGTTAGCATCAACATTACGGACGTGAACGACAACCCTCCCAAGTTCAGCCAGGGCATCTACAGCGCTGTCATCAGTGAGGACGCCTCTGTCGGGGACTCTGTCATTTTGGTAGGTGCCAGTAAGGAGGGGGGCTCCAGATAATATGGAGCAATAACTCTTCAAAGAGAGAAGTAAGCAGAGTTTAGCTTGCATTCAAATCAGACTTTTCTTTGTGGTATCTCTTATAGTCACATTTCTCCCAAGGATGTGTATTCTTTGCGGGATGGGAGCGGGGGGGGGGGGGGGGGAGACCCACCAAATCATGAAACACTTTTTTTTCTTTTAACTTTTTCCTTTTTAAAGAAAATTTTTTCTTTGTCTTGTGCTTAAAGTTTATAAAGAAAGTTTGATTTTCCCTTCAGCCATTCATACACATTTTTGCTTTATAACACTAATTAGAACAGCCACAGTGTCATGGCTTCTACCCACTTCCTCCCTGTGATTCTCATTTCCATCAAGCCTTCCAAGCTACCATTTCCTGAGTTTTTTCCTGAGCAAATTCTGCCATTTGATCTGATGTGGTGGATTATTCTGAGGAGAGAGCTCCTGCCTGGTGTTAATGTTCACCTTCTAGGCCTATCATTTGCAAGTTGAACTATAGTGATAAGTTTTGCTCCAAATTTCAAAAATGACTAATGACCATAATCTTTCTTGGGAAGCTCTTCTGGTCTCTAGCTCAACAATAAGCCTGCCATTTATATGTGAAATTCATTTATAATCATTGTTTGTTGTTGTTAAGTCCCTTTGAGTCATAGACAACTCATAGCGACCGTATGAATGAAAGACCTGAGCACTTGTATAACTTTCATCGTCTCTCTAAGTTCATAGGGTTTCTGGAGGCAAGCTATTTCTGAAGTGGATGCCACTTCTGCGTTCAGGCCTGTTTTAATCTGGGAGCGCCACCAAACACTGTCCACTGTGGGTAACCATTATCATATTTGACACATCAGTGTCACAGTGTTTACCATCACAGCAATCATGAGTTACCTCTATAGAGCGACTTGACAGACCAGTGCTATTTTCTGACCTTAGTTGGTATGTTATGAGATAATTAAAAATCGAGAGAATTCCATTCCTGCCCCACAGACACACAGGGTTGGATGACTGACTCTAAGTGGGGTTTCTGGGGGGACTCCAAGAAGAACTCTTCCAAAGCCTTCTAAGAAGGGCTCTTTCTAATAGCAGTGTGAACAAGCCATGTGTCCTGAGAGTTTAAGGCCTTTTGAACCACCGATTAGACTTCAGGAATGATGACCCCATCTCGCTGGGATGTTGTTGTTGTTGTTGTTGTTGTTGTTGTTAGGTGTCTTCCAGTTGCCTGCGACTCCTAGCAACCTATGTATAACATCCCTAAGCCCTGCTCTGTCCTGTGCCAATCTTATTGTCTCTGACACATCTATCCCCATTTCCCCAGTCACTGAATCAATCTCTCATTAAGGATTTTCCTCTCCTGCGCTGTCCCTTCACTCTCCCAAGCATGACATCCCTCTCCGAGGACTGGTCCCTCCTTTCAACATGTCCAAAGTATATCAGACAAATTTTCAGAATCTTTGCCTCCAACGAACAGCCTGGTTTCATCCTCTCCAGGATGAACCTGTTTGTTCTCCTAACAATCCATGGTATATTCAATACTATTCTCCAGCACTACAGCTCAAAAGCATCAATTCTCCTTCTATCAACCTTAGTCATTGTCCAGCTCTCTGATGCATAGCAAGTGACTGCAAAGACCATGGCATATATCAGATGCACCTTAGTCTACAGATTGACATCACTGCTCTTCAGTACTCTGGAGAGGTCTATGACAGCAGACTTTCTGAACACAATATGTCTTTTCATTTCCTGGATGCTGGTGCCAACAGTGTTGATTGTGGAGCCAAGCAAACTAAAGCTGTTTAAAATCTCAATCTCTTCATCATCCATCACGATGCTGCCAAATGGCCAAGTGGTGAGAATCTTTGTTTTCCTGATATTGAGCTTCAATCCATATTGAAGGCTTCAGTCCTTGACCTTCTGCAGCAAGCGCTTCAGGTCCTCCTCAATTTTAGCAAGCAAGGTTGTATCATCTGCATAATGCAGATTGTTGATGAGTCTTCCTCCAATCCTGATGCCACCTCTCTCCTCATAGAGCCCAACCTCCCAGATAATCTGTTCTCTATATAGATTGAAAAGGTATAGAGATAGGACACATCCCTGGCATACACCCTTCTCAATTTTTAATCATGCGGTGCTTCCTTGCTCTGTTCTGATGACTGCCTTCTGGTCCACCAAGTACAGATTTTGAACAGGCATGATCAAGTGTTCTGGGATTCCCATTCTTCTCAGAGTTAGCCACAGTTTGTTGTGGTCCACACAGTCAAATGCCTTTGCATAGTCAGTGAAACACAGATTCCCTGTTTTCCACCAAGATCCATCTAACATTAGCTACAATATTCCTAGTACCACGACCTCTTCTAAACCCAGCCTGCACTTCTGGCAGTTCTCTGTTGATGTGCTGTTCCAGTCAGTTTTGGATAATCTTCAGCAGAATCTTGCTTGCATATGATATTAATGAGATTGTTTGATAATTTCCACATTCTGTCATATCACCTTTCTTTTGAATGGGAACAAATATAGATCTCTTCCAGTCAATTGGCCAGGTGGTTATCTTCCATATTTCTTGGCACAACTTGGTGAGTGCATCCAGGGCAGTGTCTGTTTGTTGAAATATGTCAATTAATATACTGTCAATTCTAGGGCCTTGTTTTTTGCCAATTCTTTCAGAGCAGTTTGAACTTCTTCCTTCATCACCACAGGCTCTTGCTCATACATTCTTTCATGAAATTCTTCTGTGGTACAGTGACTCTGTATACTCTTTCCATCTTCTTTTAATACCTTCCTCTGTCTCTTATTCCTACACCTAATCACTGGGTTAGGCAGGTCCCTTCTATTCACTTTCCTCTGTCTCTAATTCCTACAGCAACATGAAGTGAGAATTCACAATCCCCTTTTAAGTAATAATACATTCCTTTCCAAAACATACTGGAAAATATCTTTGCTATTTTATCTTTAATAAAATATCTTTATCAAAGATTCATAACATAAAACTTACATTAACTATTTCTTTTTAGTGTACACTCCAGTGACATCAATCACATTCACAGTGTGTACTTGTCATCACCAGGTAGCTCCAAACCTCCTCAATTCAAAGAGAAACCCACTGTCATCGTCCAGAGTCCTTCATTCCCACCTCTCCCCATGCCTTGACAACCACCAGTCCACTTAGCTCTTCACCCATTGACCTATCTTAGATGTTTCTTACAGGAGAGATCAGACAATGTTTGCCCTTTTGTATATACGTTTCTCTTTTACTAATGTTTTCAGGATGTGTCCAGTATCATAGCATGTTTCAAAACTTTGTTTCTTTTTTTGTGCCTGAATAATATTCCATTTTAAATTCAAACATTCTTTTTCACCCACTTGTTTGATGATAAATGCTTTGGTTGTTTCTAACTTTTGGGTTTTGTGACTAACAATATATTATCTATATACTGGAGGTGAACCTCTGACCCGTCTTTCCTTTGTAAGACTATTTCTGTACACATTTAACCCAGCAATACTGAGAGAGTGTTTGCTGTGTTGCAAAGAATCATTTTTTTGGCTTCTTTTAACATGAAGAGGCACAGGTTTTGAGAATGCCTGACTCTCTCTATCACTCATCCTTACAGGTTTAAGGCCTGAGGAAAACTAGGCCTAACAATTTTCAGGCTGTAGGAAATCAGAATTCACAGAGAAATGAAATGGCAGCTCAATGCAACCCTTGTAGAGAAAACAAATCACCTTTTATACTGGGGACAAGCTCATATCAGAGCCCTACACATTGTCACAAATCTGGGGCCCTCAGAACAGATCTTTCCTCTATCTTTCATTTAGTACCTTTTCTTTGTTTTTCTATTTTACTATGAAGCTAATAGCAGAAGATGTAGACAGCCAACCCAATGGACAGATTCATTTTTCCATTGTGAATGGAGATCGAGACAATGAATTTGCTGTGGATCCTGTTGTGGGGCTTGTTAAGGTCAAGAAGAAATTGGATCGAGAACGGGTAAGGTAGTTTGAGCCAGCAACCCCCTTCTCACCCACACTACCTTTTCCCTGAAATTAGAGGTACAAGTCATGAGAATAAGTAAGAAACTTCTCCATTCTAAGTAATAAGAATAAATAGGTATAAGTTATAATACAGTAGGTGATGTTTTGGATTAGACCATCAAAAGTATCTCCCACTAGTCAATGCTGGAAGTCTCTTATTTTGAAAGCTTTAAAGAAAAGGCAAATGTGTGCTTTTGTTGTTGGTTTGAAATGTATTCCTTCCTGGTATGAAGGAGCAGGAAAGTGTCTTAGGCTTCCCTGGGAAGCCTAGGTGAATAGATACCTCACAATCCCCTGAAGGCATCCAAGTCAGGACAAATGATCCAGAAAATGTTTCTCTCTGAGTGAAACTGTGTTTCTAACCATGTCCTTTCTTGAACAAAAATGTTTCCTCAAAGAGAAATTAAATATGGGGACAGTTATCATAATAAATGCCGAGGAGCAGAAAGACTCCAGTGTAGGGCATAGTCCCATGACTGCCGAAGTATTACGGCTGAGAAATATGACAGATTGATGGTGACATCTCTGAAGGCCTAGAATGTGGTTCTGAACATGCATGGTGAGTTTTACTCCCAGGGATTTTGGGTGACATTTGATCACAGCTGGAAGGGGCATGTAACTGGCATTCAGGAGGCAGAGAGAGTGCACAGGTCAGCCCTTAACAACAAATCATGAGCCCGCCTCACATCGGTGGTGTCCCTAGACTGAGACCTCTGGTCTGGAGAACCACAGAATCTGGTCTTTAACAAAGCACTTGTCTGGCCCTTGGGTCCCTCTGCCTGTGAACGGAAGATGTAACTGCTGCCCTGCTCACCGTGGGTGCTTTGTGCGTTGACAGGTGTCTGGATACTCCTTGCTTGTCCAGGCAGTGGACGGTGGCATTCCTGCCCTGTCATCAACTGCAACTGTCAACATTGACATTTCTGATGTGAATGACAACAGCCCAGTCTTTACGCCTGCTAACTACACTGCTGTGATTCAGGTAAGCGAACGTCACCTACCAGACACTTGCCCTTGTACACTCAGCCTCTTTTTTCTGCTTTAAGCATTCTCCATCATGAACTATCATTATGATTAGACAGAGGATTAGTCAAGATGACACCAACTCATGGAGACCGTTCATACAATAGACTGAATGAAATGTTTTCCTGGCCTACACTGGACTCTAAAAACAAAGGGCAAAGTGCATAAAGTCAAAGAGCCAGCAGAAAATGTCAAAGGGCAGCTTGAGAAGACAAGGCAAAGTGTTAAAATGGAATGTGCAGAAAGCTGGAATTGGAGAATAAAAAGGGGAGAACTCATTTGTGTTTCACAAGCTGAGAGAACTGAAGAACAATTTTAAGCCTCAAGTCCCAGTATTGAAATATAGCATGGGCAATATGCTGAATGATTCAGCTACTGTACCAAAAAGAATTTAGAATACTAAAAAATTTCAGCAAGTGCTATATGAACAAGAGCCAATAGGGAAGGAAGAAGTTGAAACTGCACTGAAGACATTGGCAAAAAATAAGGCCTTAGGAATCAATGGGATCCTAATTAACTAATTTCAGTTAACAGATGCAACCCTGGGTGTGTTCACCAGTCTATGCCAGGAAATTTGGAGGACAGCTGTCTAGATGACTGACAAGAAGAGATCAATATTTGTTCTCATTCCACAAAAAAGGGATCCAACAGAATGTGGAAATTATTGAACAGTATTATAAAGCTTATAGGCAAGCAAAATACCAGTGAATATCTTTTAAAAAGCTGTTGGAACAGTACATAGATAGGGAACTGCCAGAATTGGAGCAGGATTTAGAAGAGGCCATAGCATCAGGGATATCATTGCTGATGTCAGATGGATCCTGGCTGAGAGTAACTACCAGAAGAATATCTATTTATGCTTTATTGACTATGCAAAAGCATTTGCATGTGACCGTGTGGGTCACAACAAATTTTGGCTAAAATTGAGAAGAATAGGAATCCTGGAACATTTGATTGTGATTATGCAAAACCTATATTTGGACCAGGAAGCAGTCATCAAAGCAGAACAAAGACTAGTATAATAATTTTCTAAAAAAAAAAATTTAAAAACACAAAAAAACAGAGCAAGAAAACCCTTCTAACCAAAATGTCAGTGGTTCAGACACATCTTTTTGCTGGCAAAATCGGTCTCCTTCACTGGGGCATTTTCCTTTTCCTGTCCTCTCAGATGCTTTTTGAAGCAACTCTGCATTCTTGCCTTGTTGCTGCTCCCACAGAACTGCACCAGGCAGCCTGCATTTGCCTCCATCCCTCCTCCTCTCAGCTCACACTTCTCCCCTACACTCTTAGAATGGCGCACCCTGCCTCTTACCCCCTGCCTCTTACTGGCTCTCCGCACTGGCCACACAACTAAAAGGCTTTGAGTCCTCAGGATGAGGTTTTAAGATATATATCGGTCAGCCAGCCTGACAGGCTGTTTACAAAGGCACAACAGGAAGTCAACAGTGAAGGAACTGAGACTCTGGAGCCCACGGGCAGGGACCTTGTCACCCCCCTGGAGTGCTGAGCCTGTGTCTGTCATATTTCACCCTTCTTTCTCAGAGGTGACCCTGAGGGCTTACATTTTCTCTCCCTTTCGCTGTCCTCTATGGAGGAAACGTGGCCTTTATAGAGTGAGCAAACAAATCAATAAATCTTCTGTTTTGCACAGTGCTGAGTATGTTGTCAGTGTGAAACAGTAAATCTACACGGGGCCGAGGCTGGCGAATGGCAGATCCCACAGGAGACGCTGCCTCTTGATGGCCAAGGGGGCACTTGAGAAAAGGAGCAAAGGAAGAGGGCTTCAGGGCTTCGAGGACTTCTCTCTCCTTCAAAAATAATTTCTTCTTTTTCTAACCCAGAATGACTTCCTTATCCCAAGACTTTTTTAATTTGAAAGCCAAATTTATTTATTCATTTCTTGCATTTCAAATGTCCTTCCCTAACGTCCTTGACCTGCGGCTCTCTGCCTTAAGGCTTTAACAGCCCCACCAAGGCAACAAATACTCTCAAGGGCTTGCCTCTCTGTGGCTTTCCTAAAGAGACGAGCCCATGGTGGCTCAGGGGGAGAATTTTCACCTTCTGGGCAGGAGACCAAGGTTCAATCCCAAACAGATGCACAGCCACCACTCCAGTCCTTGGACGCTTACGTGCTGCTCTGATGCAGAAGTTTCAGAACAAGAAATATTTCAGAATAAGAGAAATTCCCACTGATCTGCTTCTGAAATCAGCCAATGGAAGCTCTACACACCACAAAGGTCCAGTGTAACTGAATCATGGAGAGGGTAAAGGGACAGGGAGCGTTTAATGAGGTTGTTAGAGGCCAGCTCTCAGCAACAACAGCCAATTCCCCTAGGTTCTTGTAGCATCATCTTTACTCAGCTTGATGTTGAACCTCCACCAACCTGACATGCACAGGCATAGCACAGTTGGATGAGAACTCACAAAGATGGATTTGTCACATACCTAAAGCTTGGACAGCTTCTCACATGCCCCCTGCTAGGCTATCATGAATGAGGGCAACCTAAACACTTATTATACACCAGTTCTCATAGTCCATTAGCCCTCCAGCAGCAATGCCTCTACCTGCCATGGTGGTGGTTCGCAGGTAGAATTGAATCTTTAATGTATTCAAGCTCTCAAGTCCAGCATGTAGTTTTTATAAGAATAATAGAAGCGAAAGAGTTCCTGACCCATGAATTGCTCCCTTCTAAACTTGAGTGTTTTATTATCTTCATTTCTGTGGCCAAACTATATCAACATAAGCTCTGAACTGATAAGACTGACTTCAAGCCCAAGCTGTGGTCATGATAAAGTTTAAATAGAGCAGAGCAAGAAAACCAATAGCTGAGTCATAGATAAATCTCATTTTACCTTTTCTAAATGAGATTTACACTTGTCCCCAAAAGGAAAGATAAAAGATACTCATCTTTCTGCTTTAGAGGAAAAGGCAAAGAGTTCTGTAAAATGTTTACATGCCCAATCACATCCAGGTCTTCTGATGAAGTTCAGTCTTTTCTTCCTCTGTGTTCACATCTTGTAGAACACTGTGTTCCTCTGCCCTTTCCTCAAGGAACAGATCCAAGCTGCATAAAGCCCAATTCTCCACTTGACACATGTCTCTTTATTCTTACTCTGAAGTCATCGACCTGCCCACATATATACACATACACAGGCCCGTGTTGTGGTGCTATGGCACAGTGTCAGGTTGTGACAGGTAAGGGAAAATGCCTTTCAGGTTAATGATATCTTGGCCTAGGAGGATCTTTAACACAGTCACTGAGGCTGGTGAGTGCCATTTATTCCCAGAGCTCCTTGGGTACGCTCAGTGTATTTCAAGTCTATAAAGGACAAGGTATAATCCAGACCCTCCTTGGCATGTGTGGGCCCTTCCCACATGAGTTCTTGTGTTCTCATCTGCAGTTGGTTGTTCCATGGGGCAGTTGTGGGGAGGAAGCCAAGAATGGAGAGTCCAGGGCTTACACATGCCACGTGTTCTCAGGAGACAAGATAATACCCAGGGATTTCCTTCTGCTGAAGAGTCTGCTATCTTGCACAGTGGCCCCACTCACTAATGATGGGTTTGTGATTTTAAAAATGTGAGCAGAAGTGTCATTTTATCTTCCTTTTTCATACACTCTTTCCTGCAGGAAAACAAGCCAGTTGGCACCAGCATTCTACAGCTCATGGTGACAGACAGAGACTCCTTTCACAATGGGCCTCCTTTCTCATTCTCTATTTTGTCTGGTAACGAAGAGGAAGAGTTTATGTTGGATCCACATGGGGTTCTGAGGTCAGCTGTGGTCTTCCGGCACACGGAGTCCCTAGAATACGTGCTGTGTGTCCAGGTATGGTGACCTTCTCTGTCCTCATCGGGCTGGTTTCCACCCCTGCTTGCTTCTGCACTCATTGCATGATTTTCTTTTGCTGAACAAGTCAACATAATTCATTACCATGCAGGAATGTTCCCCTTTTAATCTCAAATTCAATTTCACACCAATAAAAGCGGCCTCTGTGTGTGAAATTGAACAGGAAGGAAGGGAGGAACATTCCCCCAGCATTGTTCAGGAGATACGTTCCTGTAGTGTCTGTCAAGCAGACAGCCAAGGGCTTAAATCTGCAGTCTGGAAATTCCCGGGCTTCTACTTGACCCCTAGAGACAACCCATTGTTCAAGGCTTGCTGCTTTAGATGGGGTGCTCTGCCACATCACCCTAGTCGAAAAACCCACATCATTTTCTTAATGTGCTTGAGTCCTTGCGCTTCTACTTGGTAGACCTCCCTCAGTCGAACATGGACCAAGGTCTCAGTTGGCAGAGGCTTGGAAGATGACTGAGACTCCCCAAACCAGTTCCTCAAAGTCTTTGTGCTGGATGAAATGAACAACACAGGAGTGTAAAGTAACATGGCTTAAAACAATATCTAGGTAGGAGCTGGCAATAAGATAACATCAAAATGCTCATATGATTGTTGCCAATTTGGTTCCATCACTGAAATGGAATGAACATTTTCACCACAATTTCTCACAAATGATAACCTAAATTCATTCTTCGTGGTGATGATACTAACAATGTCTTTATCGTTTTTCACGACTTTATTTTTTTACATTATCCCTTTTAGTAAGTTATATCTTAGCCCTGGTGGCCTCGTGAGTAAGGAGATGCACTGTCAACCCAAAGGCTGGAGGTTCAAATCTACCAGTTGTTCTGCAGAGGAAAGATGAGTAGTCTCCACTCATGTGATTTATAGCCTCTGAAAACCTACCAGAGGGTCAGCTATGACTCAGTTCCAGCTCCACGGCAATGAATTCTACTCCATGAAATCTTCTAAATTCATGTCTTCTGAACACATCAAGGAACTTCTTCATATCATTGAATTCTTTCACTGATATGTTCAGTCACTCCATCCAGTGTAAAATTTGTATATCCCAGTGTAAGTGCTCAAGGGCAAGGAGCTATTTTTAAAGCCTTATAGAAGCTAAGATTGTTGTTAAGGTAGTCGCTCTAGTTGTTCGAGATGAGAGTTTTGGCATTGCAGACTCTGGATTCTTCATAGAGGGCTTCCTCCCTAGAGTCTCTCTTATTTTGTTTATAGCAAGTCCTGTCCCTGTCTATGTCAGTCCCATTCCCCCTACCCCTGCCCTGCTTTCAGCCACATCACTCTGCCCCTGTGCTATTGCATGATCATCCCAGATGATTCTCTGACTTCAGCCTCATTGTCTTCCATGTCCTGCCAGAGCCCTCCAAGATCAAACTTTGTGTTTGGATCCTGTCATTCCCCTAAACCAGAGGCCAAGAAACTACAGCCCCTAGGCCAAATCGTGCTCTCAGTCTGTTTTTGTAAATAAAGCTTTATTGGAACACAGCCTTGCCTATTCTCCCTTCCTCTGACAGCACAGTTGAGTAGTTGCAAAGAGACCAAACAATCTGTCAAATCTAAAATAGCTGTTAGTTAGCTCTTTTTAAAAGAAAAATCTTGCCAACTTGTGCCTTGAACTAAAACCACATCTGTTTACCCTGTGTCCTGAAAATGTGTAGTCTGCAGGCTAAATTCTGGACCACACTCTGGTTTTGAGTTTTGAATGCCAATGCCTTCAGCAGACTCTACTCTCCTGTGTTCCCCAGACCACAAGTCCATTACTTTCTAGCACTCAACACACAGAAGCCCTGCCCATTGCTGTCATCTTTCTGACCTCTGACATTAGATTGAGAACTTCTCATCCATAAAGTTCAAATTCATCATCATCTTTATGGAACTCCAAACCCATAAAGTTCAACTACCTTGCTAATCTTATTTTATATCAACCTTCTATTTCAGCATCTCTTGTTCACGGAGTCCATTAGATAAAGCAAGTGGTGATTTAATGATTTTGGTGTTAAAAATAACAACAATCACATTAACTCTCATGCTTTAAGGTCTTTCTGTGGGCCAGATCTGGGCTGAGAACGTGGCAGTCATCTCTTTTAAGCCCCACATATTCCTGTGAGACATATACTTTGCTTTACTTTAACAAATTCTAAAACATTGAAGCTCAGAGAAGTTCAGCAGCTTATTCAAGACAAGGAATGCTGTGAGTGGCAATAGCCAAGATTTGAACTCAGGTCCGGGTGATGGCCAAGCCGATGCTCTTACACTACATTCCTCATTCAAGGATTGACCTACCCTCATCCCCACATGCTCAGACACTTGCCTGGCAATCTCCCCTTCTCATGAAGCCCCACCACACTAATATCCTTTCACCATACATGGCAGATGCTCAGGAAAGATCTGCTATCACCATGCTTCTTCTCTCAACTCTTAAATAACAATGCAAGAGAAAAGAAATTGATTCCATGCTATATATTTTTCCTATTGGTGCATTGTTTTTCATTTGAAACTCTACCATAGTGCAAAACCCACATGAATTATCCTATTGTGATTTTTTTAAAAATAGACAGAAGGATGAAATCAGGTCTAACCAAAAGTAATACACTCAAAAGAGCAAAGATTCCTCCTCCCAGTAGGAACACAGGAGCTGTGTTTCTGCCCTAAATGGAAGCCCCGCCACCCTGTTGTGGGGCTCCTTGCACCTCTTAACCTCCTTCCTCCCTATATACCTCACCCGACTTTATTGTGTTGACATGTCTTAATGTTCATAACCAAGTGTGTATATGAGTACGGAAGACGGAAAATACACCTCTTGGTTAAATGCACAGCTTCAAGAGTTTGCAGAAGAGGGGAGAGTGTTGAAGGAAGAAGCGAGTGGGATTCAGGTGCACGCATCTTCTGAGGCTAGTTTACAGCTATTACAACTATTAAAACTTTGTCTCAGTCCTTTTTCTTACTCCCTCTCAATTGCTTTAGGCGAAGGACTCGGGGAAACCCCAGCAAGTGTCTCGCTCCTACATCCGTGTGCGGGTGATTGAGGAAAGTATCCACAAGCCCACGGCCATCCCCCTGGAAATTTTCATCGTCACCATGGAGGATGACTTTCCTGGCGGGGTCATCGGGAAGATCCATGCCACGGATCAAGACGTGTATGACGTGCTCACATTTGCCCTGAAATCCGAGCAGAAAAGCTTGTTCAAAGTGAACAGCCACGACGGGAAAATCATTGCGCTGGGCGGCCTGGACAGTGGCAAGTACGTCCTGAACGTGTCGGTGAGTGATGGCCGCTTCCAGGTGCCCATCGACGTGGTGGTGCACGTGGAGCAGCTGGTGCACGAGATGCTGCAGAACACCGTCACCATCCGCTTTGAGAACGTGTCCCCTGAGGACTTCGTGGGGCTGCACATGCTGGCCTTCCGACGCACGCTGCGGAACGCAGTCCTCTCCCAGAAGCAAGACAGCCTGCACATCATCAGCATCCAGCCCGTGGCGGGCACCGGCCAACTGGACATGCTCTTTGCGGTGGAGATGCATAGCAGTGAGTTCTACAAGCCAGCCTACCTCATCCAGAAGCTGTCCAACGCCCGCAGACACCTGGAGAACGTCATGCGCATCTCCGCCATCCTGGAGAAGAACTGCTCAGGGCTGGACTGTCAGGAGCAGCACTGCGAGCAGGGCTTGTCTCTGGACTCCCACGCGCTCATGACCTACAGCACAGCCCGCATCAGCTTTGTGTGTCCACGTTTCTACAGGAACGTGCGCTGCACCTGCAATGGTAAGTCTGGCCTAGGGTACCCCCCACCCCACCACACCACACCACCCCATCTCTCGGGATTACAGGAGATGCAGCTGCAATTCCTAACTCAGTGGTGTTCATTCAATCACTGAGTCAACAAAATATTTCCTGAGCGCCTACTATATGCCCTGGAGTCTGAGTTGTGCAGATGATTAAAAGAGCAACTACTAATTGAAGGGTTGGTGGTTCAAACTCATCCAGAACTACCATAGAAGACAGGTCTGGTGATACACTTTTCACTGGTCACAGCTTTGAAAACCTTGTGGAGTAGTTGTACTCTACACACATGGGGGCCAGAATGCATAGGAATTGGCTCAGTAGCAGCTCACAGCAAGAAGACAAAGTGCTTGGCATCACGATAGATACCAGGCTCCAGAGGTATGCAAGTTCAGCTCCTACTTTTATGAAGCTTGTAGCTCAGTGAGCTGCACAAGCATTCATTCACAAGGAAAGCTCAAGCCCACGTGGTTAGGTTATAGCAGGGGGAATGGAAAGCCCTGTGGGAAGACATACTTCTTTAGAGGAATGTCTTCTAAGTAGAGATAAAGAGCAAGCAGGAATTGTTGTGTTGTTGGTTTAGGTGCCATAAAGTCAGCTCCCTGCATAGGGACCCTGTGTCCAACAGAACAAATCATTGCTCAGTCCTGGCCCCCATTCTCTGCTGTGCCCGAGCCATTGCCGCACCCACCAAGTCCATCTATCTCCTTGAAGGATTCCTCTTTTTTGCTGACTCTCGCCTCTCCTGAGTGTGGTGTCTTTCTCCAGGGACTGGCCTCTCCTTATCATAACGTGTCATGATAAGTAAGATGAAATCTCGCCATTCTCACTTCTAAGAAGCATTCTGGCCACACTTATTGCAAGATATATTTGTTTGTTCTTTTGGCAATATAGACTCTGTTCAATATTCTTCATCAACAGCATAATTCAAAGGCTTTATTTATACAAAGAAATGCTGTTGGTACAATGGTCAGTTGCTCAGCTGCCCACTCACCCAGTGGCTCCCAGGAGGATAGTGTGATGATCTGCTCCCATGAATGATCTGCTCCCATGAAGCTTATGGGAAACCCTTCAAGTCAGCTCTACCTGCTACCCCGAGGCCACTTCTTGCTGTTATACTGTCGAATCAGAACCAACCCATAACTCATCCTCCAGCGGGTTTTCAGAGGCAGTTAATTGCACAGGACTGCACAGCAGCTGGTGGATTTAAATCACATATCTTTGGATTCCCAGCACAACTCATTACCAGTAGAACACCAGAGCTCCCTGAGGTCACTGGGAAGCAAAAATCATCTACGTGGCACCAGCAACAGTAATGCATACTAATAGCATTGTGCAGACAGTCCCTCACTGCCAGAGAGTCAATTCCAGCTCATGGTGAGCTTCTGCTAGGTTGCAGAGGACATAAATTTTAACAGAAAGAGACTCCCCTTTTCTCTCCCACTGGTACATTAGAACTGCCTGAGACACTCTGATTTGGGGCTACAAGTGCAATCCCCTCCATACTTCACTCCAGAGCCCCTTTGAAGAGGGTTAGAAAGGAAAAATCATTGCCGTTGTAGCTGATCCTCCAGTGTGCTTACAGAGGCTGCAAACTGAACAGGAAGAAATTGTCCATCTTTCTACCTGGGAGCAATTGGTGGATTTGAAGCAAGTGCAACGGCTTTTATGTAGACAGCGTACCTCCTCACGCACTAAGAAAATGTTTCAGGCAGTGGGATAGCTTCTGTAAGTATGAAAGTAGACCACCCTGAGGGACAGGGAGGAGATAGGGCTTGATGACAAGCCCCTGTGAGAAGCCCGAGTGGTCACACAAGGCCAGTTAGCCAAGAGGGAGAACGTAGAGACAATCCCCATGACTGGTTGGCAGCTGGAGAAGGAAACAAGGTCAGATCAATCTTTCACAAAAAGCATGTTGCCTGTAGAGGGGAATGGATTAGAGGGGCCAGCCTAGAGTCAGAGATACGCGTTGGGAAGCTGTTACAGAGGGTAAGGGCAGTTCAATTTGCCTCAGTGAAAAACAGAGGTCACATGTCCAAGAGCAAAGTCAAGGGATGGATTCAGCCCTGCGAGCAGCAAGGATGGAAAGGTTCAGGCTTGTTGAGGTAATTACAGTCATTGAGCCCTGACCCTTGCTGGTCAAAGGCTGTTGCTCTGTAGAGTTGCAGGCTGTGGGCAGTACTGGTCTCCATCAATTCACTGCTGTCTTCTAGGACACTTGCACCCAGAATTCCCTCTAGCTAGGGTGAGCTGAATCTCAAGGGACTGTGGTGAACTGAGAGGCCATTAGGCACACATATTTTTAGGTAACTGTACATAGACAGGGTCCCTGGCCTCTTTTCATGGAGGAAGTTCTTTGTTTCTGTTTGGAGAGAGAGCCCAGGGAGCACAGTTTTCGCCGGGCGACACTCATCCCTCCACACAGCACAGAGGCCTGCCATCAGCTCTGCAGGTACCCAGATGGTTCACCTTGTATTGTCACTCGGTGGAGGCTGCCATATCCAAACCTGCTGAATATGTAAATTAGCCCAAAAATAGCCCAAAGCATGCATGGTGGGTGGAATGCAACTCTGGCAGATGTTGCCAACATGTGGAATTTATGTATGCCAGCTGGTCAGGCCTCACCTGGGCTTCCTCTCTGTGGACAGATTTGTGTACAGCAGGCTATGGTGGGGCCTCAGCACAGGGTTCACTGGGGGTTCTGGACGGGCATCCCTTGCAGGAGAAACTGCACCCACAGGTTCATCTATGCACTCCAAGGACTCACTTCGTTCAGCGAAGCTCTGTGGAGGCAGCAGTGTCCAGGCACTGATGATTCAAAAGGTATGGCCCCAGCCTGCGTGGCCGCTGCTTAGGAAGTAGCTGCCTCTGAGTTATGAAATTAAGAAGTTCGTCTACAAGTACTGAATTGTTGTGTCATCACTGTTAGTTGACAGAGTCACTTCCCCCCCCCCCCCCCCCCAGCTCATTGTAGCCCTGTTCATTAGAGTAGAACTGCTCCTTGGAGTGTTCCTGGTTGCATCTCTAAAGATGTAAGTCGCCAGGTCTTTCTTCTGCAGCACAACTGCATAGGTTCAAGCCACCAAGCTTTTTTCTTAGCATGTGAAAGCTAAAGTGATATTTTCTCCTTTTTTAAATTAGTATGCATGTAATTATTCATATTCGGGGGGGTGTGTGTTTCACACTCTCCTTCACTGGCATTGTGCTTCATACTATTATTCCCATACGTTGTGTTGTATGGAATTAATCACCATTGGATTCTGCCCCCATTACCACATCTTTTCAAGTCCACACGAGATCTTTCCCATTTCCTTTATCCTTTACCTCCACCCACTAAATTGAGTGACCCTGTGATTTGCCCCCTGCCCATGCTTGCTCTCATTCCACCCTTCCTCCCTTGTTCCCCCCATACACTTTTTCTTAGTTGTCCTTCAGTTTTTACAATAATGGTCTTATGCAGTAGCTCTCTGATATTAAAACCACCTATGGGCTGCTACCAAAAAGGCGAGTGGTTCAAATCCTCCAGCCAGTCCAAGGAAGAAGTGTGAAACAGCCTGCCCCTGTTAAGATTTAGAACCTCAGAGACACAAAGGGACAGTTCTTTGTCATCTTGTAGGATAGCGAGAAGTTGGAATCAACTCAATGGCAGTGTGTTTGGCTGTGAGTTAAAAGGTGCTTGATTCCTGGCCAATGTGTCTCACGCAATGCCAGTACGCAGTGGAAGCTTACATGCTGCTATGATAGAAACAGATTTAAGCTGAATGTCCAGACTAAGATGGACTAGGAGGAAGAATCTAGCACTCTGTTTCCATAAAGCAAGCAGTGGATGAATCACCCTGTGGGTCACAGTGATTCAGCGAGCAGCCAAACCGAGGCCTGGCAAACAAGGTGGCTTCATTTCCGTCTCTCCCACGTGCAATCTTTACTTAGGGCTGACACAGCTGCCACCAATAACCACACTTACATTTCAGACAGATGCTCTTGCCCTATATTTTAATCAGACAAACATTAGTGTCAAGTTAGAGACTAGTTTCAAGTGTAATAAATCCCAAAGGGATGTCACTGTTCATTATTCTGTTCGTTGTTGTTGTTGTTGTTGTGCCATCGAGTCGCTTGCGACTCATAGTGACCCTAAATGCCATCTCAAACACATTCATTCCCACCACTCCACTCTCAGAATCGATCCATCTCATCCAAGGTCATCCTCTCCTGCGCCGTCCCTCCACTCTCCCAAACATGATGTCCCTCTCCAAGGACCAGTCCCTCCTTGCAACATGCCCAAAGTATGTCAGATGAAGCTTCAGAATCCTTGACTCCAGGGAACATTCTGGCTTCACCCTCTCCAGGATGAACCTGTTTGTTCTCCTAGCAGTCCATGGTATATTCAACACTCTTCTCCAGCACCACAGCTCAAAGGCATCAATTCTGTCATCCCTATTCACTGTCCAACTCTCCGATGCATAGCACATAATTGCAAAGACTATAGCCTGGATCAGGTGCCCCTTAGTCTCCAGCCTGATGTCGCTGCTCTTCAGTACTCTTGAGAGGTCCCTCACAGCTAACTTTCCCAATGCAATTTGTCTCTTGATTTCCTGGCTGCTGCTACCAAGAGTGTTGACTGTGGAACCAAGTAAATTAAAACTATTAACTATCTCAATCTCTTCACCACCCATACTGATGCTGCAATTGGCCCAGTGGCGAGAATCTTTGTTTTCTTGATGTTGGGCTTCAATCCATATTGAAGACTACAGTCCTTGACCTTCTGCAGCAAGCGCTTCAGGTCCTCCTCAGTTTCAGCAAGCAGGGATGTGTCATCTGCATAACGCAGGTTTTTGATGACTCCTCTACCAATCCTGATGCCACATTCCTCCTCATACAGCCCAGCATCTCGGATGATCTGTTCTGCATACAGATTGAAATAGTATGGAGACAGAATACACCCCTGACGGACCCCCTTCTTGATTTTGAACCATCCAGTGAGT